TTCATCGATACAGTTTAGACGGCGATTTGCTTCTGTATAGCATCGACCAAATCGATGCTCCTCGCTCGGTGATTGCCAACGACATGGATTTGCGTGCAAGAATCATCCACGAGTACCAAGATGCTCCTACTGGCGGCCATTTAGGCCGCCAGCAGACTTTCGCAGCTGTGTCTCGAGACTTTTTCTGGCCCCACATGTATAAGTGGGTACGCAAGTGGATCCGAACGTGCGAAATCTTCCAGCGTGTGAAGCCATCTTCATCGTCGCAGGCTCCCTTACTATCGTTGCCAATTCAAGCCGGGGCCTGGCGATCAGTTTAAATGGACTTCATCTTCGGGCTTGCACCCGATAACCAAGCTCGAACGGGCATCTTGGTTTTTGTTGACAGATTTAGCAAGATGACACATCTAGTGCCTGTTCACGCTACGATCATCGCGGCTGAGACCGCGGCGCACTTTATTGACGCGGTGTTCCGTCATCATGTCCTGCCAGAAACATTGTATCGGACCGTGATCCGCGATTCACGTCCGCATTTTGGACGTCACTGTTCGTGCCCCTCGGGACAAAACTGATGATGTCTACAGCGTCCCATTCTGAAATGTATGGGCAAACCGAGCGCGTGAACCGGGTCCTAGGAGGCGTTCTTCGAAGTTGCGCTACGCCATTCACAAGTTGGAGTGCGTTTTTACCACTCGCTAAGTTCGCACTCTACAACGCCGTACACGCGTCTACAGGGTTAACGCCATTTTTTGTGAATTCGTTTCTTCACCCTCCCTTTCCTACTCTCCTTGCCGTGAGGAGATCTACGACACCTCGTGGCCTCAAACTAGAGGGGGATAAAGGTGATAAACAAGGATGGAGTGCAGCTCACGGTATTTTAAACGCCAATGTAGTAAATCAATCCAAGGCAAAGACTACTGCTTTGACACCACGAGACGTGGCGTTCCCATTAGCTCGATGGAATGCGCCGACATTGACTGACCCGTCTTCGGGTAAGCGGTCGCCTACTGCCAACTATGCGCCAATTGAGTCGGCGCGAACAATTGATGACATGGCTGTGTCGGGGTATATACTGCAACGTCAAGCCATCACCCATTTTGTACGCGACGCACTACAATCTGCGGTATACCAACAGAAAGAGAACGCTGACAAAAATGGCAGAAAAAACATGAGCAAGTTTGAGAAATTTGATCGTGTATTATTGTCTACCGAAGGTCTAAGGGATTCAGCGGTCGCTAACCTGGGCGCGAGTAAACTCGTGCCACGCTTCATCGGTCCATTCAAGGTTCCAAAGACAATCGGCGACGCTTATACACTCGACGCCCCCTCGTCATTGCGACTCCACCAGACATTCTACGTCGGTCGGCTAAATGAATATCGCCCGGCTACGCTTCACGGCTTGGCTCCGATGCCGGCTCCAGGGGTCCGTAAGTCGATCGGCCTTCCCGTCGTGCTCGATGCGCCGATGACAGGGGGCGCGGCCGCGATGCCGTCTACACACGACCAAGCACCTGGCGCTACAGAGACCTCATCCGTTCGAGCAGCTCACGGTTCGACTGCCGGTCTCACTCGTAGTCTTCTCCGCCTGGGCAGCACGCTCACTGGTAACCTCAGCCTCCAGCTGAGCATCAGTAAACCTATTTACGGCCTGATCAACATCGTCCTGGGCATCCAGGACGCCAGCACTACCATCGCGAGGGACCACCTCCGCTTATTGATGCGTAGGGTCAAGTGCGCTAGATTGTATACCGTATTGTGGGTCACGAGGATCCTCCCCGATCAGTACTACAGTCAACCCATGAGAAGCGCGCAGGTATCGAGTACGTTGGCTTGGATTACCTCCCGAGCAGGTTACATGGAAACCGCGTTCCTCAATCTTTTGTGACGCTCCAGATTTGGTTCAGTCATGTGAAACAACGAAGTCGGACTATTCCGATGTGAGCGCGAACGCGAAAGCGAACGCTCTCGTGACAAACGAGAACGGTGAGGGGATCCACGTCGTCGAAAATGAGAACGATGACGTGAACGATGCCGTGAACGAGAACGATGTCGTTAACGAGAACGTCGTGGTAAATACATATCATCACGATTGCGAGGCGAGAATCGCGCAACAGGACGGGAAGGCGATCGTGTCGCCGCCCTGCGCTTACTAATCAGCGAAGATTGACTCCGCTGTCGCGAGTGGTGCTGCCAGCAAGGCGCACCACGAATAATTGCGCTTCTCCGTTCGCTCAGACTTCGCTCATACTTTGCAACCCAACTTCGTTCGCGTTCGCCGAGTGGAAACTCAGCGATGTGTCGTCGCCATTCGTCATGAGTTGGGCGTGGAGTCGAATCACAAAACTGGCATCCTTCATTGAAATGGACGAAGCAGAGACGGTCCTCATTCCAAGCATCCTCACACACTCTTTCGCGTAGCGTGCTGATGGAGTGATCGGCGCGAAGCTCCTCTCGAGTGGCGAGCCACAATTGGAAGCTGCTACCATCCTCGAGCATCCTATTCCAACGATGAACGAAGGCACACCAAGAACGTTGCAGGGCCTCGTATTCGATTCCATCAGAGCCCTTTGCACGCAGTTTTCGAAATCGCCGGGAGCAGTCCCGCATCATTTACAGTGAGTCCGTAGCGTGAGCTCCGGACAAGTTATACAGCGCCCCAGGAATATGTTATTGCGCCATAATGTTGGTGGTTGCAATCCCGCTGATGGTGCTTGGAAGTGCTGCAGGATCGGGTGTTAAGTCTACGGACATTGCTTGTTCGTTTGTGAGCGATTGGGTTTCGACAGTTGAGCACTCACGATTGGTGAGTGCTGTCTTGAGAAGGGGATGATGTAATGGGCTACATTACAAACATACTTAACACAAACAAATAATTACATATGTAGGCAGGTGCTGGGCCCGAATAGCGGGCACAGCGTGGCAGTTTATTATTGGTTTATTACTGGGGCCTAAAGTCCTAATATGGACCAATGATAAACTAACCTGAAATTGTGTGGTTCGCGAAAGGCGGGAACACTATCGTATTCATTACGACTAAAACATCTTCGTAATTAGTACGAATGAAAACAAAAATAAAAACCAGAGTTAAATTTACTTAATACCTAATACTTGGGCTCGACATGTGCTGCGTAGCATTGAAGTCGATGAGCCATGTCTGATTCTTAGCACCGTCATCACTCAGTTTGCCGACCATAAACAGGTAATCGCTTTAGTCTTCATCTTGGTTGCGCGCCATGTTCGCACGCTGCGGACGCTGCCGGTCCGTGCTGTCATGAACCCGCGAGGGACACTTCGCGATCCAACGACTCATTTGCCGCCGCAGTAGTTGCAGCGCCAGTCTTTTTAAATGGCCGTGCACTGCGCTTCTTGTCACCATTCGTGAACGCTTGGCCAGTAGTGACGCCGTCACCACCTTGGTCTTTGCGCTTCAAGTCTTCATGGAGGGGTAGAGACGTCACGTACTCCCACGTCCGGGTGTCGGAACGCGATTCTAACGCCGTGATGAGGAAATGGTACGACTCGCTCAGGCTTCCGAAAAGCGTGATCACCAAGTGATCCTCGCAGACCGAAGCGCCGACTGCATCGAGCAGCTCCGCCAGTGTTGATGTGCGCGAGCACATCATCACGCTCTTCCATCATAGTTGTGAAGAAACGACGACGAAGAAAGAGCTTGTTCGCAAGTCTTATCTTCTCGTAACGGTCCTTGAGCTTCCAACATGCATCATGCGCACCACTTGTCGAGCGAAACAGCGGTAGTTGCGGGTCTTCCATCGGAGGGCAGATATTCGCCATCGCCTTGCATGCTTTATCTTGAACGTCGCTTGGTCCAACGTGGTCACGCATTGCTTGATCTTCACTTCGCCGGAGACGACCTCCCACAGGCTACGTTCTTTGAAGACCATCTGCATCTTGAGCTTCCACGAATGGATGTTGGTTTCATCGAACTTGTTGATGCGAACGAAACTGAAGCCCATGGTAGCGTAGGCGGTGGTGGCGGTGGCGGTGCAAAGTCGAACCAACTTGGACTCATAATAGTGTTCTGTTACGATCACCAACTTTAAGCCATGGGTAGGCTTAGATGTAATTAAGGGTCTAACTGAAATCACTTTACATTTTGTTTAAGGATGAAGTAACAGAGGGTGCTTCATCCTCAAACAGTTGGAGTAACGCCCTACTGAAAGGCTTGAGCTATAAGATGCTAGCTCAGGCCTTTGACGGGGCCTCTCTCCCTCTACACACCTCTCTCTTGCCGCTCTCACCCCCAGCCGCCAGTCAAGCCGCCACGATGTACGCCGCCACGCCCGAAGTCCCGAAGTCCCTTCATCTCCGCTTAGGTACGCTCGCGTAATCCTTTGTTCTACGGTGCAAGCAACAAGAGACCCTCCCTGGGTAGAACCTGTTGCAAGATAGACATCCAAGGGATTTAAGCAAGAAACCTACCGCTGGACAACGCCGTCGACGGGCCCCATACCTGTACTTCTTCGCCTGTGTGCAACGGATCGTGCAGCCTGGACGGCCTTCAGCGTGGCGCTTATAGCGCGCGCCGCTTAATGGACCCTGGCGAGGGTAGAGAGGAATGTAGAGAAAAGAGATAAGCCGACGCATGCGGAAGTTGAGCCACTGTGGTGGCAAGACGGCTCGCGTAACGCGTTTACATACATACATAGAGGTTACTTCAGCATTATAAAGTTACAGAGTAAAAGGGTACGTGAGTAGGTGATGTTGGCGTTGGACGACGAGATGTTCCAGCCTAATTACCGAACTCGTTGCACCAAGCGACCATCGTATTGTCCAATACCGTGTAAACGTGCGCAGTTCATCATTAACGGTTGTCGTATTGCTGCACATGCGGCAATGCCGTCGACATAAACTACGTGAAAAATGAAGGGCAGCCGTATATGAAGTTCATATTGGCTAGAACGATCAAGTGACGAGTATGAAACACACGGCGAACTGCCTATCTATCTACGAATCTTTGCGTAAAGGAGTCCCCGGTCGCTTTACTTTTTGACCTCTATAACCTTCACCTTGGCCTTGCGGGTCTTCTTCGGGCGACCAATTTGGATCTGGTTGCGCTTGTGTAGACTATCGAAGCGATCCAAAAGGGGATTCCCCTTCGGCTTCAGCGTTCGAAGGTTGCCTGTGAGCTCTTCAAAGAACGAGACCGGGGTCGTGCGGTCCAATTTGCTACAATAGGATCATTGGCAGCAACAGAGTTGTCAGTCCCAATGCTTGAAGATCGGGTAAAACGCATCAGAAACGATACTAACGTGTATTTTCCAGCCACGCGTACGGGCGGCTCCTCCTGCAGCTTTTGCTCCAGCTGGAGCTTCTTCAACTCCAACTTTTTGGCCGCCTTCATCTCATTCTTCATGATATCCTGGAGAATGTGATTGGAGCTGTAATAACACCATAAGCAATTCGACCGACGTTAAAAAAAACGGCTGCATCATCATCATCCACACAAGTGATAAACGTACGTGTTGATCTGCTTGATAATTGCCTTCTCGCCACGTCGCACATGATGTTCCAACTTCATTTGCTTGTGTCGTGCACGCTTGTTGCGTTGAGCACGTGTCACCTTCTCGGGCAACTTGCGGACCTGCATTCCACAACAAACCAGACACCATCCAATGTTCAAAAGTGACCAATTGAAATCTCAGCTCTTTCTCTCTTCACCTTTTTGGTCGTGTCATCCTCATGCCCCGAGTCGCTGGACTCCGCCTCCGAGTCCGATGACTCGTGCTTAATGTGTTTCCGCGTCTCTTCCGACATGCCCTTAACCACTAACTCCTGCTGCTGGGCTTTCTTCTCTCGACGTTCCAGCTCCTCCGCCACTGCTTCCGCCATAACATCTTGGTGCGTGTCAAAGTCCGGGTGGTATGACTGGCCAGCAGCTGCCACCTCCACTGTCGGTACCTTGTACTTAGTAGAGGATACAATTCTGCGTCGCTTAATCTTATTGACGACCACAGGCGCCACGTACTCGTCCAGCTTCTGGTTCAGCTCGTCGTCCTTGACGTTGCCATCCTGACCCCACAGTCCCTTAGTCTTCTTCTGCTGCTGCTGCTGCTGCAGCAACTTTGGCTCCGTCGGCTCCAGCTGCTGCAGTTTCTTAACTGCTACAACCTCACCCTTATTGACTTTAGCAGCGTCAAACTTGCGTGTGCTGGCTAGCAAAGGGTTCTTTTGTAACTTCTCCAGCTTCTGCTTCTTGGTCAACGGAGCAGGCACATCACCACCCTTACTATCCACCTGAAAAAGCTGATCTCCCTCTACATGCTTGAGCTTCTTATCCTCTGCATTCCATCGGATACTCTCCTCCACTTCTGCACCTACGGCCTTGACACGCTGTTGACGACGACGCTTGGTGCTACCCATGATGTTACTGTGTCAATGGACCTCCTCACAGCCAATGAAAAAACACTGGTTACTGGGACGGTGCCGGAGAATGTAGTAGTTGTAAAGTTATATTGTTGTACCTGACGAAAAGCATAAAAGCACCGTACATGACAGAAACAATATGTAGTCTGCGATTTTTCGTCAGGTACGGTACTACCTACCTGAGTTACTGACACATTTATAATACAGTAGTACATGATGGAATCGAGTCCAAGGTACGCCCGGGTGGAGGAAAGTCGAGATGATCTGGCGCTGGTGCGTCATGGCAGCGTCATGTTCTCTCCATCACCACATGCACCGTTACGTAGTTTTACGACTGAAGATTTGCCGTCAGTTAAGTCGTTTGTGTCCATGTCCGACGCCATCGGAGATACCAAGAAACGCTCGGGCTCGTATATCTTTGAGAGCAGTCGTTTGGCCATAATAAAGGGCATACAGGGTGTAGGACTTGATCGTGTCGTGGATAAGATGCACAAGGTCTTTACACCTGATGACTCGGAGCGCGTCCTGCGTGCTGAGTGGCTCGTAGTCGAAACGGAAGAACAACAGCTTCAGGAGCTCCAGGAAGTCGTGCACAGGCTTCAAAAAGCTTTTAAATTCTCTAATCGATTGCGGACGCTCGTGAAATTGGCCAATAGTACACTGGTCAAGTGTGACGAGCTAGTGGAGCGCAGTCAAGCGCATCTGGAGCATTGCAACCTCATGTTTGCCCAGTTTGTTAATGAGATCGCCACACTGACTGACTATTTGAGTAAATTGAGAGAGGCGGTGATCCCGTCGCAGCATACAAACAATCATAATGAGGAGAAGAGACACGCACGACGAGCAGAGTGGGCGCTCACGCGCATGGCGCAGAGTGCGCAGGCGATGGTCGCTGAAATGAAGGAGAGTCTGGATGAGCTCGATGATCTCACCAGTGAGTGCACAAAGCTTATGGTGCAGAGTATCACGCTGTTACATATGAGAGGACGCTCTGCGGATTTCAGTGGCACAGGAGTTGCAGCCGGTGCGGCTGGTGTAGTGGCCGGAGCTGTCGTGGGTGTTGCTGGAGTGTTTGCTGCTCCAGCGACTGGTGGACTAAGTGTGCCGATCTCACTGGCCGGAAAGAGTTTGTTCTTGTCAGGTATAGCAGCGCTGACTCCGTCCAGTATCATGCTCAGTCGTACGTAGTCGGTAAGTGTAATGTGTTTAGATGTGCAGCCGCTGACTACGATTTTTTTCTTTATTTAGGTCAAAGCCAACAACTCAGTGGACTGTCGCTGCTGGTGGTAAACCTCAAGTCGTGTCTAGAGATCATGAATCAGAAGCGGGAAGAGATGGCAGTGGCATTCGCAGCAGTCGAAAGTCTCGACCTTGATATTAAGCAAGCGACAGATTTTTGTCAGGATGCCATTGAGTTGGAGATCTCCATTTACGTCAGTGAGCTTGCTAATGTATGCTTTTGACCAAGATAACTGACCTGGACTTGTCTGTGCTGTTAATGTTTGCAGGAGAGTTCGTGGGGTTTTATTGAAGATATCAGCGTGAAGCTCATGACGCTCAATCAATCGGTGGAAATGTTTCAGGCGTCACCAAGTATCTGGCATTTTTGCAAGTCAGAAGACGCCATGTACCAATATCTTCTCGCCGAAGAGGAAGAAAGTTGAGTTTTTATGACCATTATCATTCCATCAATGGTAAAATACCAGCCGCACCTGCATAATGTAGCCATTACCTCGTAACTACCACCTTTGTACCGGTTTTTAGTCAGTTTTCTCTGTCCATCCATACAAAACCCATATAGTTATCTTGTAAGCCCATGGACTTGTACGCCGATCTACCGCTTGCTAAAGGCGCCAAAACGTCTTCGGCACTTGATGCTGATGGTAAACCCAAGACGTCTCTATCTTCTACCAATTCTGGTGTGTTTTTTGCGTCATTTACAGCTACATTGCTATCTAAAATGACTTGAATATGTTGCCTACTAAATTTGTCCTCTCTCGTGTCTTTTCTCGCCTTGTAGTATGGGCAAGTGCGCCTTTAATGGTCCCACAAGCAGCTAAAAACAAGAACAATAATATGAAAAGTCGACCGACGGCGGTAGTCGCCAGTGTAGGGTTTTGTAGCAGAAAAAAGAGACGAGACGCAGAGCTTGAGGACTCATGATGCTACTGTCTCTTATTTACGAGTAGAGCACGTCAATGTCATTCAATGTATTGGCAGCAGGGAGAGGCAAAAGTGTGACACGATCGACCATGTCATTGGCTTTTAAGCCATCGTCGGTGACCAGGAGAACGTCGACAGGAGCTACTACTCAAGTGGTGTCGAAGAAAGAGGGCAAGGTTCAGGCCACGGGGTTGGGATATGTTGCACCAATGGAAGTAAAGGTGGCATTGGTGCAACAACAGGAGAAGGAGGTGGACGTGGATGTTGGTGCAGTAGGTGGCCATTTTTTTCAAGCAACGTATCGAGACGAATATCAACCAGCACGACCAAATAGCTATGAGGTCTTTTGTAAAGAGCGAAAGGAAAAGAAGAAGCTTGAGCAGGTCAAACGGGCACTAAGTCGACGACAGAAAGAACAGGAGAGAGAGGTATGTAGATAACGTCCTAGTATGTGGACGACGTGTGACGAACAACATTTTGGTGGCTTGTTGTGTGCTACAGGGCAAGTTGGAGCGAGAGAAGTTGGCAAAGGATCTGGCTGAAGGCCGAGCGCCAAACATGAAGCTGCCGGCTCCTGCTGGACGAGGACGAGGCATGACGATGCCGGCATGGATGCGCAAGAAAATGTTTGTCATTTGGTATGCTGGATGATAGTAATTGAGCAAGTTTCTAACTACTGCGCGGTTACAGTGAAGAAAATGCAGCGTCACAGCCAGAGAGTGAGCGTGATGTGGACCGAGAACATGAACCAGGAGAGGTTGCTAAGTTTATTGAAGAACAGTTTGAGGATGCTGCGGAGCCACGAGGCGGTCTGGGGTTCTCAGCTGACGACATCGGGTTTTCTTCGTCTTTTGGATCGTCGTCATCGGCAGTACCGGATGAAATTGCACGAGCAGCAGCAGGTGAACCTAACCTTCAATTGCGTGTCAGCAGTTTGCGCGGTGGTGATCGTGATAGCAAGCATAGACATTCAACACTGAACCATCACTCGAACGCACCAATGATGGACGAATTTGGACGAGAAGTTCGGCATAAAGTACAACATGGAAGTGAGGACCAGTCCACCGAGATACACGACGAGGGTAGGACGAGCATCCGAAGCTACAACAGTCATGGTAGCGGCAGCGAAAGCCGCGCTCCTGATGAGAAACGCCGTCGGACTAGCGGATGGGATAGCAGATCGCCACACAAAACGTCATTGACTAGCCGGGTAGTGTTGCTACAGGTAAATGAGACAGAGATCACTATCGATGTGGCTGGGCATTAACCCTGCGTGCTTACTGTTTGTTATGGTAGAATATGGTGGGACCAGGCGAGGTGGATGAGGAGTTGCAAGACGAGGTCAAGGGTGAATGTTCTGAAACGTATGGTCCTGTGGCAAAGTGTGTGATCTATGAAGCGACCGAAAGGGTCCCGCCTGAAGAAGCTGTGCGAATTTTCGTCCAGTTTACGAATCTTGGAGACGCTACGAAAGGTAAAGTTTTAGACAAGAAGAGTGTTCTGTATACTGACGCCGGCAGCTCTGAATTTCGTTTCAACTGACAAAACACATCTTAGCTTTGACAGGCTTACATGGACGATTTTTTGGAGGTCGCAAGGTTAAAGCTGTGTACTATGATGAGAGCAAGTTTGAGCGGATGGACCTCAAAAGCCAGTAGAGGATGAGGGAGACTTGCATCGCTAGACTTCATACGACTGGAATCGTTACACGTGTTACAAGTTGCTAAAAAGAGTGTATTGCCCACAACATGTCTAAGAAGATGTGTAACCGTGAAGAGGCGGAGCTTTGGCCCCGCGTCATTTGTGTAGTGTGTCGGTATGCTGTCAAATCGCGTTTGTGTCTTCAGGCTTCATGGACTCCTCAATGCTTGGATATCTTGTTAACTGAAAGAAAGTCTAACCCTCTGTTCAACTGAGAAGCAATGCAACTCGTGGCATTACCTTTACTAGTCCAGAGCTGGGGTTGTCATGTTTTGCCTGAAGATACGATGTCATGATACGTTGCTCACTAGAAAGCGAGATTCCTCATATCCGTTTGCAGCAGACAGTCAGTGACGACCAAGCCCAACTCAAACGGCACCCACGTAGCAACCTAAAGCTACATGGCTGTGTCCATGAACTTTAACGCTTCGAAGTACAAAAAATGACTTGAATAGAGCCTCTGCTGACATCTCGATTTCAACCGCAAGGTTGGATCCATCAGAGTCAATACGAAGCTCTTGGAAATGTTGCACCAAGTATTCAACATAACCACCACCCAAGAGGTGGCAAGCCAAACACGCGCATTACTCGTCAGGGTAATGGATCACAAGCGCAATGGAGAGAACGGCAAATGAGGCGTACAGCGCCAGTAGGGTGTAGCAAAGTTGCGGGCGGTATCGAAAGCCGTCATATGATGCAATCACAATATTCAGCAGTAGACTCAGAAGAAGATACCCAAAGCCCAAGTACGCCAGGGGCGACGGCTTGGCCATAGTTATAGGACCGCGCGAAATAATGGCGATGGTAAGGGACAGCCCGATACCAACAAGGAGATTGAACATGGGCCCAGCAAAGCAGCCGGCGAATGCCATAGTGGGGAAACCGTCGCGCGCAATAGCCATGTTTGACACAAGGTCACCTATGGAGTTACCCCATGCTAGAACCTGAACAACATTCAACACCAACGACAATTAACTCACTGCTATGCTATGAGCCATATAAGAATTTGCAGCACTTACCGACACCCCCAACACCGAACTTGGAATGCCAAAAAGCGCTCCCAACGTCTCCAAGAGAGTAAGCACCTCGTTCGCGATATTCATGATCCAAATGATGGACATGATAAAAGCCACACCAAGAAAAGGTGCCAGGAACAAGCCTTCCGGTGGCGCAAGTGGCGACGTGGTGTGCTCAAGAATGCAACTCATCGTTCCACCAGCTACTACGACCGACATTAGAAAAACAGGATCTTCAATGCTGAACGAAAAGACCGAAATGCCAAACAGCAACATCGCGAAAGGTGGACAAACAACAACCAAGTTTTTGTCCCAGGTATCCTCGTCCACGAGAGGAATAGTCAGGCGACGCACAAACACGGTGAACACCGCAAACGGGTTCCATACGACCCGTACGATGGACCGGTAGACGCATCGTACTGATCGAACAGTCAGCCTCCAGCATCGTTTAGCTTTCACCTTGGCGTAATCGATAGAGGAAACAGCCATGATTGCCTCTAAAGCAAACTGCTCATTTTCTGCCGCAAGTAATATCGCTTCCAGCTCCTTTCCTATGACCTCCTCCTCAGACATTTCCGAATTCTCTTCAGAATCGGTACCAACATCTCCAAACAATTCAAGGAAAGAAGAAAACTCATCGATATCACTCAAGGCGTGATACCCACGCGTCCAACGTCGTGCCATTGTTCCGAAATGCGCGCTTGACTCCAGTGACTCCCAAGCCGTTTTGCGTCGACGTCTTTGTCGCCTCATCCGACGCAGTGACTCTTGCATTGAAGCCACGCACATTGACGTAGGGCGTTTAAGGTGAACATCTGTGACTTCCAGCAAAGACTGTCCCTCGTCCCGCCTAAGTGGTCCAAACTCATCGATAATGCAGGGAATTGAACGCGGCGTAGGTACAGAATTCTTGCGATATTGCATGCGGTCGAGAAAGCGTGGGGACGGTTCCGACTGCTCTGAATCCGAGAAAATTTGTGTTCGCACGAAGGTTTCGTACACAGGAATCGTCTGGCTTTTAAAATAAGGACGACGCTTTTGCTGTTCTTGGGTCTGTTCAACATGCACTGGAAACGACAACAAAGTGATTGCTGAACTCTTTTCACTCGCTGTAGACGACGGACAATGTTGAATATCCTCCTCATCGTCCAGTACAGAGTACATTAAATCCTCTGTGTGCACTTTGCACGGGAAGCAATAAGCTGCCAAGTACTTGTCAGAAAACACCACCAGCACGTAGACAAAGTAGATAAATAGAAACCCCACCGCCTCGGGCAATTCCACTTGACCATCAAAAAACACCATCCCTAAATACAATACAGCCAGGAAGTAAAAAATCACGTCACGTAAGAACGTACGGGGGATTAATTGCTCATGGCCGGCAGATGCTAGTCCCACACACGCCGTGATGACTATAGGATACAAACATCAACCATAACAACAACAATTACATCAATAACCTGGCCAAAAAGACAGAATAAGCATATATCTTGTTGTACCTGTCGTGACCAACAGACCACCTCCAAGGATAGAAGTGACACCGATTGATGGCGTTGGAGTCGCAAACGCTGCAATGTTGGAGAAGACGTCGGGTGACCCATTACCGAAACTTAGAAACGTAACACCTGCGACATGGGGTGGGATACGGTATTTCTCGACAATTGCTTGTAGTACTGGACAGAAGAACTCATCAGCTGTGGAGCTAAGTAGATACAATAGCAACACGAGACACAACACAAGTGCCGCCTTCCCTAGCTCTGGAGAGCTTTGCAGCAGAGAATTACAGTGGACTAAGTGATCATAGTCGATAAAGCTTTCACTGGTGCTGGAAGGTCCTGAACAATCATATGTCGCTGAAGATGGAAACGAATCGACTATATCGTGGTCTGAAGTAGCAACTACCTGTGCCAATGTTATGGATGCGAGGAGTAGAATGCACTTGAGCATTATGACAAAAATGGTATTATGGGTGGTGGAACTACTAATGGATAACTTGATCGATTTGCGACAAGAGACAGGGCCAGGTCGAATGTGAAACGGTCTTATGTACGTGCATGTGCTCAAAGTCTGAACTTATGCCATGTGGCTGTTTAAGTCATGACAAGCAGCATTCTCGGAAATATATCTGTACAGAAACGACTTGAAGTAATAATCGACAACTTGACGTACGTTTCTTTCTACCAAGCACGAGAGCGAAACAATTTCTAGTCCCTATGAAAATATAGAACTCGTGAGAAATCACAAACTGTGCTTTGAGACTTCTGCTTGGCAAAGGCCACAAATTCCAAAGCTACTGAAACTGTCTTGTTTCTTACCCACTCGTTGCAAGAGTCGCAACAGGATAGTTGCATCATATCCATCCAAGTGAACTCTTGAGCCATGCACGTTTTTTCTATTTTAGAAGCCTGTCGACTGCGCATTCTTCTTCGTCAGAGTATTAGACCCATTTGTCCTAATGACATTGATAGGCACAAGATATTCCTGCATCTTTTTCATTGAAGATGGGGAAGTGTCAGATGTTCCTGACCTTGCGCAAGATGTCCCTGTACAACAAAAATGCTGCTATACCATATTCATAACACTTCATATGTGGTACACGCAACATGACACGTACTTGTCACGTTTCATCATTGGTTTCAAGCTGCTGCCACCAATTAGGCGATAGGGTGTTGACATAGACACGCACATGTCACAAAATATCAGAAAAACGACATGGCGAAAAGTTCAGACCGACGTCACAATTGGTTTCACGGACCGGGACTCGCATTCATTCTGTCGCAAATGGTTCACCGTTTCTCGACCTCAGCACCAGCACTGGACCCTAATTTGTCCTTCTCGTTTGCGTGCGGTGGCTGGCTCAAAATGTATCTTTTCGGCGTAGCGAAAGCCTTGCAAGAGTTCGAGTTGGAGAAGAACGCGCGGCTCATTGGCTGTTCGGCCGGTGCGCTAACAGCCACTGCATTGGCGCTGCATTGCGACTTTGATGCCATCCGTGATCATGTGCTGAAGAACGTTGTACCTTTGGCACACGCGTCACCGGCTGGATACTTTCGCGTGCGTCCGTACCTGCGCGATACTTTGTTGCGCCATGGTGGACTGAAGCACTTTGAGAAGCTCAATGCCTCGCAGCAGACTACTATTGTCTATACGTCGTTGTCGTCATTGCAGTCACGCCGTGTGACAACTTTTGAGTCGGCGGAGCATTTAACGGAAACTTTGCTGGCTTCGTGCTGCGCTCCACCCATCGCCGGACTGCCATTTAAGCTCAATGGTGAGTGGGTCATGGACGGAGGCATGCTTGACTTCCAGCCAGTGTTCGACGACAAGACGGTGACTATCAGTCCGTTCTACTGCGTCGGTGCAGACATTAAACCGTCAGTGTACGTGCCCATGTGGTGGGCATTGTTTCCACCCGGAGTGAGTGATGTCGAATGGTTGTTTGACTTGGGATATGAAGATGGATTGAAGTGGATCGTAAAGAATAATTTGACTGGTGGTCGCAAGAACATTGTCATCCCTGAGAAGAGCGTGACATTTGTTGGCGCATGGAATACGACGGTGGGTCGTGTAGTGGGCTACCGTAGCTGCGAGAACCACTTTCTCGATGCCTTATTCATTGGACTCTTTGTGTGCTTGTGGCGTCCGATTGGTCTTCCTGTGCTTGTACCTGGAGCTATGTTTACAAGCGGTTGTATCGGGTAGCAAGGCTGCGATCTTTGGAGCCGCGGCCAAGCTGCTAGTCTCGAACATCATCATGGGCGCGCTGGCTGCGGCTTTGGCAACTCTAGGCCTGCAGCACATGATGCAGTTCGTATTGGGTTTGATTGCGACAGGATTCTTTTTGGGAGGCATAGTGTCGCTCGTTGGTGGATTACAACAAGCAGGCATCGTGGCCTCCGAGGACTGGCAACGCTTTTGCTCCTATACTCGCAGCATCGCAAGTCTTTCGCTTTTCCTGCACAGTATGCCGGTGTTTGGTCCGAAAGTGCAGATTAAACGCCACAAGGTTTTGCTGGAGCATTCGCTGGTGTATCGCGTTGCAATGCACTTTGTATAGAGCGAATACTTAATCTGTATCTTATATGTCACCTATTACCATTATTGAAAAAGAAAACAATTATTGTAGCGTTTATTACATTTATCACAAAGATATGACCATGTTGCATTCAGACTGTGATGATGAAGGCTCGTCGATAGGAAGCCTCGCCTTACTTTCATTCGTGACCTTTCGCAAGTTACATAGAGCGTCCGACATCCACGTCATAAGCACTAGAGTTCCCGAACTCCAAGTAGAATGAACTGATTGAATAGGTATCAACTATTCGACGTCGCACTCTTATCCGTGTCAGGCACCGCACTTTCGGTGGCAGTAAGTGTCCTATGACATCATCCATAGGACTAACATCATCCTCCTAAAACAACGTGTGACTCTCTTTTCAGACAGTTTTGTTTTTGACGACATTGCATTCTGTCCAGAACTTCATTTGCAATGGTTCGCCATCATCAAACTAATCATGTATCCAAACCATTCAAGGACATGTCCTTTTCGTTTGCATGTGGTGGCTATCTCAAAATGTACTTGTTTGGTGTGGCCAAAGCACTGCAAGAATTTGAGCTCGAGAAAGACGCTCGTCTCATTGGCTGCTCGGCCGGCGCATTGGCAGCCACGGGGCTGGCGTTGCATTGTAATTTTGACGCTATTCGTGACTTTGTCTTGACCGACGTCATCCCGAACGCACACGTGTTCCCTGCCGGATACTTTCGTGCTCGAACATTTTTGTTGAATACGTTGGAGGCAGAGGGGAAACTGCACGAGTACGAGAAGCTTAACGCATCGCAGCAGCTTACAGTCGTCTACACGTCACTGTCGGCTCTTACCTCACGTCGTCACACGACGTTTGAGTCGCAACAGCAGCTGACAGACAGTTTGATGGCGTCGTGTTGCGCCACGCCCATTGCTGGCATGCCGTTTAAGCTCAATGGTGAGTGGGTCATGGACGGAGGCATGCTTGACTTCCAGCCAGTGTTCGACGACAAGACGGTGACTATCAGTCCGTTCTACTGCGTCGGTGCAGACATTAAACCGTCAGTGTACGTGCCCATGTGGTGGGCATTGTTTCCACCCGGAGTGAGTGATGTCGAATGGTTGTTTGACTTGGGATATGAAGATGGATTGAAGTGGATCGTAAAGAATAATTTGACTGGTGGTCGCAAGAACATTGTCATCCCTGAGAAGAGCGTGACATTTGTTGGCGCATGGAATACGACGGTGGGTCGTGTAGTGGGCTACCGTAGCTGCGAGAACCACTTTCTCGATGCCTTATTCATTGGACTCTTTGTGTGCCTGTGGCGTCCATTGGTCTTCCTGTGCTTGTACCTGGAGCTTTGTTTACAAGCGGTTGTATCAGGCAGCAAGGCTGCGATCTTCGGAGCCGCGGCCAAGCTGCTAGTCTCGAACATCATCATGGGCGCGCTGGCTGCGGTTCTGGCAACTCGGGGCCTGCAGCACACGATGCTATTCCTGGTCGGTCTGTCGGTGACAGGATTTTTTCTGGGTGGTATGGTATTGCTGGTTGGCGGCCTCCAGCAGGCTGCCGCGGTCGCCTCGCATGACTGGCAACGATGCCGATCGTACATGCGCAGCATTACGAGTCTGTCACTCTTTCTTCGCTGCATGCCCGTGGTGGGCTGTTTTGTTCAGATCAAGCGTCACGAGCTTCTACTACAACATTCACTCGTGTATCGTGTCGCGATGTATTGCATGTAGTTGCTTCATCTAAGCAATAAGCGTGCATTAAATTACAATACCAATTTTACGTCAAATCACTGGACAAGTGTCTGTTATTTCGGGCTTTATTGTCAAGCCACTTTACACAATGGTCAACCTTAGGACACAATGGGTATGCCGTTATATACCAATTTACCGCCATGACCCAAATTTGTCAGCTAGATCCAAGTTACCCACCATACATGGCGCAGACTATTGCCAGCTGGCAAAACATTTCTTAAGCGGCATATATCGCTGCTGTAGCTTTACACGTCGAGGTGCTGTGCTCAGTCAACACACACGACAGGTTCCACACTCCAGTCATGCTCACGATTACTCTACAGGCATACGGCATGGCAGGATCGGTGGATAGCTTCCGTCTCAATAAGATTTATACATCCGCTATCACATTGCAACTTAATTCGTGTAGACACCATGGAAGCCGAATGTGTCGGAGGGTCGCGTCACCTGAACTGGTTCTGACACCATAGAAGCGGAATCTGTCTGGTGCTTTGAGACGTCATAAATTAGGTCGCTGGAGTGAGGATCCAGGTTGACCTTGCACATTGGGAGGTCCGTAAAACGCAATAACTTAAGCTCAAGGCGATACAAGATCATTACCATGTGCAGCGCCTTGGCTTCGTCGTCAAAGGCAGAGATAACTGTAGTATCTTTCCAATTGCGACGGCGCCATGTGCTCAAGGCTCGAATCCACTGCTCCTGAACTTCCAGTGTCGATGCACCTAGCACAATCCTAGTGCGTCGAAACTGCTTGATCGATCGTTCTGTGTCGTGCACGGAGCGCACGGGACATAACTCGACGCAGAAACGGTTGGGCGTCCGACTATATTCAAGGCGCTGTACTGATACGCGATGTCTCGTGAGCCAAAATAGGCCCATCCGGCGTCCATCCTTCTTGTCGTAGAACTGCAGCAAACCGCCTTCGAGCTCAAAATACAGTGGATCCTGAGTGCACAAGATTCGTTTGTCAATAATTATTCAAGTATCAGAAGCTTTGAAGACGACGACATACTGCCTGTTGATTAGCGCCGTGCAGGAGTAGATAACCTTCATAATCGGCCATGGAGTAGTCGTCTGTAGCCTTTCGATACGTGCTGGAACTGTCAGGACGAGTCAAGATCGAGAAATGGCCGGCAGTTGGATGCAAATTTCGTACTGCGGCTCTGCGTTGATGTCGCACCGACGACTCGCCTGTCCCGTGCGTTCAAATCTTGCCAAGTCTTGCAAAACATGTAGACTTGAACGTTTTTGATCATCGTAGTGACATGGGCACCGTTATGTTATAGTCTCTCTTGACACCATGGAGACATTTTTACAGTTATTCTGCAAGACAGGCAGATATGCAACATAATGGAGTGAAGATGTAATATTGTAACTTTTGAAAAGCATGAACAGTTAGCGAATAGAGCAACTTTGAACTCAGAAGTCTACTGGTCGGATCTCACATTAGAGTGGGGCGATAACTGTATTCTAAATGCTTGTGGTGCTGCGGTTGTGACAGCCGCACCTGCTGAACTTTCCAGCTGGTCCATCTTGCCGAAGGGCTTCATCTGATCTCAAGCTGCGCATTACTAGGAGTTTAATCGAAAACCTGATTCCTTGACACGCCTGCTCGGCGGTTGAAGTGAGTGTGGTGTTGCTGATCAAGTGGTTTTGTGCGATATCTTCTGCACGGCAGAAAGACCACGTGAAGGCCGATGGTCGGCAGACAAAGCTGGATACATGCTGCCCTAGAATGAATCGGACCCTCACGCCTAGCAGCTGGCTGCACAATCTTTCGAGTCAAGCAACAAAGATGTCGCCTTGCTGTACCTGCTCCAAAGCTCTGACACGTTGCTCTTGCATGTAATCGAGCCGGCCTTATGCTCACCTGATTGCAAGGGATTCGCTGGCTCTTCTAAAGTTCCGGCCTTGTTGAAACAGTGGAGCGCGACGTCGTAGCGACGGACACGGCTGATACAGCGACTACTGATTTACGCTACCGACAAAGAGCACGCAATTGCCGACCGTGCAACCTGCACAGGCAAGAACACGAAGGCGATTGACACTGTCACGACCATTGACATGGGAAGTGATATTTGAGAGAGGATACCATGCTATGGCTGTTAAATTCATAATGCAACCGTAGGGTAGGGAATGACCAAGTTCATATTATCAATCCCCGGTCACCCCTTAACTCACGACACGGTACGACGAAAGCCTTTTGTTGCGAGATTGCTACAAAAGTCTAAACGTGTCGTATGTTAAAGCGTTGTGCGCTGATAAACATGCGCCGTTGCTCGCAAGTGGCTTGACAAATAGCAATTGAACAACGATGATTTTTCCCTTCACACTGTAAATTGCATAAAGGCTACAGTACTATCACTGTTCCCATAAATGATGGACTCGTGTTGCAACTTACGTGATGCATGTCTAAAGCATTAAAGTCAATTTTACAATAATGCTACTGCATCTTATGTGTAAGTCTGAGCATAACCACTTGCATCTACAATCTTCGATTCGTATTCTTATCTACAAAATCGAGTGCCTTTTTTGGGTAGTGAAATCATCTTTTCACATAGAGAGCCATCGCTCGTGTGGCAGAGTATGTAAATGTTTAGTTACCCGCAGTTATTTCTTTGAAATATTTAAACATTGTGCACAGAATGATCTTAAATGGTTGAAACTGTATTAATTGTTTCTCTATGACACAAAGTCAGGCGATGTCGTCGTCCCGAGGTATGCAGCAAAGAGACCAACTTGCAGTCGATTAATCGTCTGACGGATCAAGCTAACTGCGTGTCTTGCAATGCACCTTGTATCGCTTGCTTAAAGCCAGCGCGCTACGTTATCGACGTTAGCGCGGGACAGGGAACCTACTTGCGTGGACAACCGATGAATCTCACCGATGTCTAGCTGACGAGGCTGCCTACGGAGGTCATTGATATAATAATTAGCGAAGCCATCGACAGGTATACCATATCGGCCGCTTAAGTGGAAGACAAGTCCATTTCTGGAGCATTTCAGGCCATGCACCCAATAAACTCCACGCCGATACCACTCGGTGTCAACGTCATTCTTGCTAGATACAATGAGCTTAAGCCCCTTACTTTCTTTGAAAATTGGTCCATCTCACTCTAACGCAGCATGCATCCCTTACTGCGACGTAGCTGTCACCACCCGCGTCCAACGAATGTAATTGCCTGTAAGATAAGATGAACGTCCGTCCCTTTTGGTCATCAAGATGCAGTCAAAGCTGAAACTTTGGATGTCCTGCTCGATTGGATTTTAACAGCCCATTGATCTTGCAACTTTTAATTTCACTAACGATTAAAATTAAGATGAAAAAAGCCCAGATACGAGCACTAAGTAACGCATAGAGAGACCTTTTTTTGTTTGACTCTGTAAAAATCTGATTCGAACAGATTACGAATATTTTTTTATACAGGTATACGTCACGGTTTTTATGAACTTTGGACTTTTTAATCTAAGCACCCTGACCAATCATATCACTTTATATATATAGGGTGGGCCTGGTTTACAAAAAGGTGAGGGATAAATATTGCCATCCTCAATAAATAAGTTTCATACTTGTATAAACAACATGCAATTTTGACTACCGTCTACACAAAGTAGAACAGTAGAATATCATTGTATAATTTAGTCCTAATCGATTGCTTATCAATTCTTCACAGCAAAAACCATGGGTTTACAGGAAAAGATCAACGCGAACCCAACGGTATACGCCGTGTCCGCACCAGCGCGCAAGAAGTTCAACGTGGACGAAGAACTTGACGAAAACACCCCTGACCCGTTTGAGCCAGACGAGATATTTGGTGCGTGTAAAGCAAAAGCATTTTTCTTAAAGTAAAAGTGTTTTAACAAAGTAAAACGGTGCAGAAATCCTTCGACACGTCAATGACCCGGAGCATCCGCTGACACTCGAGCAACTTAAGGTCATGTCACTGGAGAATATCCACGTAGATGACGCCAACTCGCGCATTAAAATTTATTTCACGCCCACTATCCCGCACTGCAGGTAGACTTTTGTACCAATTTTTATTGTTTTTACTACTAACAAAAGGGGTTTAATTCGCAGTATGGCAACGTTGATTGGACTGTGCCTTCGCGTGAAGCTATTGCGGTCGCTGCCGCCGCGTTTTAAGGTAGATATTCTCATCACACCGGGCACGCATTCGTCCGAAGCGGCGGTGAACAAACAACTTAATGACAAGGAGCGCGTGGCAGCTGCGCTGGAGAACTCGCATTTACTCACAGTCGTGAATAAGTGCATTGCCAATACAGACAAGTAAAGGAGGTTCTAAAAGTGACTTGCTGACTAATGGAGATTGTGTACAGCCGAAACGTTGAATGAATATGGTATTATTGGACTGAAGTAAAGGTTGAGCTGGGCACTGACAGCTAGAGAGTTGTTTGTTTTCAAACAAGATGTTGTGGCAGTTTTACATGTTGACCGACCTTTTGAGCCAACTATTCGATCGGTCACACAGACGCACTGGAGAAGTTTTGCCGCTTTCTAAGGAACTGGTCGATGGCAAGATCGAATTGCTGACAAAGATGTTGCTGCCCATACGAGGGAGGAATTAATTCACCTGACCAGCTCAAAGACATCTAGTAGGACTTTGCTCAAAGTAATGTCGCTAAAACTTGGACGATTATACTGGTGCGATGACATGTAAGGCTTCTCCTCTTTACTCGTGACGCTGCTCTTTGCACGGCATAAACACTTTTGTTAAGGAAGCACTTTAGAACTTGCGCTGCATCTTGCGTCTCGATCTCGGTATCGGTAAAAACAAAAGTTGACGATCGTAGTCCTGCGAGATCAAAATGGTGCAATGGTGCGGAATGGCGTACATGGTCTGGTTGGGATTCAGCTTGTGAAATTATCAGACGTCCGCAGATTTGTGAGATGATATACCTTTCACGTCAGCGGCAGCTCAATCTTCACGCGACAATGCAACTACGATGCCTTTTGTCGAATAGCTTGAGGTTTGGCATAAGTCGCTTCTGTGTTGTCTTGTGTGTGTAGCCCAGAGGATTCGACATGGCAGCCATTAAATAAGTCTTGCATAATGAGTGACTCCTGTTGCTATCTTAAAGACTCTCTCACTCGATGCCATCGTTGTTCGTCTTTTTGTAGATGTAATGGCTGCACTTCAATCACAGCAGGCAAACAAAAATCGCTGAAAAATTCATGAGCAACTCGAGATTTGTGCTGTCAGCTCACCGTTTTAATCATGTCGTCACGTGTGAGAAATATCGGCCCGATTTTTTTCCGGCAAGCTGGCTGTAAGTCATCGCTATACCACGTGACAAGCGGCACAAGATTTGTAAATTCTTTGGGGTGGACAAACGGCGTATACGCCCGCTGTGCAGGAATCCAATAGATCGTAAAAATCCGAGAATTGCTTTATACTTCGAAGCAATTGTTCGGCTTTTTATCACTACAAGCACATCATTTGCTCTTGCGTCCTGTACATTATGGGAAGCATTCTTCAACTGCTTTCAGCTCCTGTATTCGCAGATTACGTTAGTTGAAGTTACCTGGCGACTGTCAAAAAGCTTTGACTTGACGTCATATGTGAGAACACCATTCATGTACCGGCGTACAGCGAAGCATTGTCCTCTGCTACTAAGTGTTCTGTGTTATGCTTTCACAAAACATTGGCCTTGATCATGACACTGGCGCAGCATGTGCTAGTTTCAATAATCCATTTTTTGCCTCCAGTATCGTTTTCGCATGTGTGAGTAGTATTCAAGTCGGCAACCCGGAGAAAAACCTGGCGTTGATCTGTTACAGCTCGCTCTACAACAGTGACAAGGGCACCGCAAGGGATACGCCCTACCGGTGATGCCGTCAACTCTGGCTCCAAACGGACAGGAGCCCCCGACACTTGTACACATCGATACTGCTCACTTTTAGGGGCAGAGGGAAAAGACATCCACGGACCTTCAACCTCGTTCATCACGGACTCATTATCTAACGAGCGCTCGACGACCCACGCGGCGCCATCGAAATATCTGTCGTGCAACCGCAGGAATACAATACCGTCCAAAGCTACAAAAGTTTCGACCACTTCAACCACGTCACCGTAAAGCACGTACCCAAGCTCTGACATGGCTAGATCGGCACGCTTACGTACTTTGCAGCCTTCTACCACACATCTGAAGAACTTGCTTCCAGCCCGTCCATTTTCTTCATTACACACGAATGGGCCTTGATGGTGCTCCAACAGAATTTCATTGCGAAGCGAGCGATAGGGCACCCAAGCTTCCTTCATCTGACGTTCGCCTTCATCCTCTTTTTTGCTCGTCATCTTCACCTCAGTGCGCAAGACGAAGCTAGGGAGATATGGTCCCTCTAGCCTCACCATTGGGTCACCTTGTTCGTTGCAAATGGGTGCCGTGGCACAAAACACGCGTCCCAGAGGAATACAACCAAGCAAAGGGGATGCAATATTGTGCTTGACTCGAACCGACACACCTCCGTTCTTGCCACGATGACAGACGCGATAATATTGATCGAAAAGCCACTTTTCTAGTGACAATCAACACAGTTGATCAGATACATACAAATGATACGCCATGCAAAGGAACTTACTTGTAATATGTGCTGGGGAAACAGTAGCAGCGCGTTCGAGCTCTTGCACGCACGTTCTGCACTTGGCATCCAATAGCTGAGACTGTCGCTTGGAGTAGCTCGTCTTGGGTAAGTTTCTAAAACACTGTACACAGCGCTTAAGTCGCTGCTGGAGATCACCTTTTACTTTGGATTGCTCAATGCACGTTTTACACTTGCTACAGACAAGTTCATTTTTAATACATCGTCCAGTTTTTCCATCTTTTTATTCACGTACGAGGTGGATTTTAGCTGCTGGTGACGAGAAAATTCCTTTGTACTTAATGACTGGCCACATGCAGCACATATACGCCACTTTTGCTCGCCAAGTGTCTGCTTCATTGATACTACCGATGATCAAAATACTACTGATGGTCAAAATACTACTAATGGTCAAAATATTACTGATGGTCAAAATACTACTGATGGTCAAAATACCGATACTGTACTACTACTGTCGTAATACCGGTGATACTAATGGCTCTCAGCCATCAGTAAGTCGGTCGGTCTTGTACTGCCAGTCTGGAATTATCCCTCAAGGTAGGACCTTCACTCTGCACGCAGGGTCCAGCCAGCATACGATGAAGATTATTGACAAGATTCATGCAAGCATCGAACGACAGGAGATTTTCTATTCGTTCGAGTTCTTTCCGCCTAAGACGCCCGCAGGCGTAGACAACTTGTATGCGCGCATGGATCGCATGGCCGCGTTGGAGCCGCTCTTTTGCGATATGACGTGGGGTGCTGGTGGTTCCAGTGCGCAGCTCACACTGGAACTTAGCGCCAACGCGCAGAATCTCAGTGGACTAGAGATGCTTATGCATATGACGTGTACCAACATGACGGAGAACGACATTAAGAAGGCACTGGACCAGGCCAAAGACGCCGGTATCCGGAACATCCTGGCACTGCGAGGAGACCCTGCACGAGGTGCTGCTAGTTTTGACGAGTGTAATCGCGGCTTTTCTTATGGCGTGGACCTTGTTCGCTATATGCGCAAGAACTATGGTGACCATTTCTGTATTGGTGTCGCGGGATATCCCGAGGGCCACGCAGAGAGTCAAGAGGACAAGGAGGCCAATATTCAGTATCTTAAGGAAAAAGTGGATGCTGGAGCGGACTTTGTAATTACACAGCTCTTTTACGATGTGCAGGCGTTCCTGAACTTTGTTAAGCAGTGCCGTGCTGCAGGCATTACAGTGCCTATCATCCCAGGTATTATGCCAATTCAGAACTATGGTGGCTTTGAGCGCATGACGTCTTTTTGCAAGACGTTTGTGCCTGAGGAAGTACGCAAAGCTTTGGCGCCTATTAAGGACAATGACGAAGCCGTCAAGGACTATGGTGTACAGCTTGGCATTACTATGAGCCAACAGTTGATTGATGCTGGTGTGCCTGGTTTACATTTCTATACGCTCAACTTGGAGCGATCCGTGCGTCGTATCTTGGAAGGGCTTTCGTCATTATCTAGCCGTGTACCACGTCGTGAATTACCTTGGCAGACGTCAACGCTGTCAAAGCGCGCGTCCGAGAGCGTACGTCCGATCTACTGGTCCAACCGACCTAAGAGCTATGTTCATCGCACGGCTATGTGGGACGAGTACCCAAATGGTCGTTGGGGTAACAGTGAAAGCCCCGCGTTTGGAGAACTCACGGAGTCACACTTTGCGCCATCTTATACGTGGACGCCCATCGAGCGCCGCGCAATGTGGGGTGACGCACCTGCTACGAAGGAAGACATTCGCCGCACGTTCGTACAGTATGTGCGTGGTGAAATAGTAAGCCTGCCATGGTGTGATGCTGCGCTGCACGCCGAGACGTCGTCCGTCCAGCCGGAGCTCGCCGCTGCCAACTCTGCCGGATTCTTAACGATTAACAGTCAGCCGCGCGTGAACGGTGTGTTGTCCGATGATCCGATGTTCGGTTGGGGTGGACCCGGTGGCCGCGTATATCAGAAAGCGTACGTAGAATGTTTCGTGTCGCCCGAAAATATGAAGATAATTATCGATAATGCTGCCAAGAAGCGTTCAGTGCAATACCACGCTGTGAACCTAAAAGGTCACTCGTACTCGAACGCCAGCAAATCGGCTGTAGCCGTGACGTGGGGTGTGTTCCCCAACAAGGAGATCCTGCAGCCTACGATCGTGGACAGTAGCAGTTTCTTGGTGTGGAAGGATGAAGCGTTCGCGTTGTGGCTCAAGCTATGGGCTTCGCTGTACGAGGAGGGCAGTCAATCGTCCAAGCTGTTGCACGAGATCCACGACACGTACTTTTTGGTGAGTATCGTGGACAACGACTTTGTGAAGGGCAATATCTGGGACTTGTTCAAAACTTCGATCTCTCCGGCCACATCGCCGTAGGATTCCGATGAAGTGAAGAAGGCATAGGAGAAGGAATTGTGTCCAAGAAGCTGCGTGCTTGTGGCAATTTTACAGACGCCCGGTCCCGTCCTCCCAGTCGCAGAAGCTGGTGAATGCAAAAGACCGCTTTGTGTCACTGGGACGATGAGAGAGCACGCTGGTTGAGCACATTTTGCTTGTTTGTGCATATTGCTCGATTTGACCGATAGATGGCTACTATATCAACCACTGCAATATCAATTCAATCGATGTCCTTACTTTTATCTTGAACAAAGTATGTCTCTGGAAATACTTAGCACCATGAAGGAGACGAGTTCGGAAGTGCCGAGCGTCTGCGTGCGCGAGCTCCACGGTCATCAAGGACCCATTAACGCCATACGTTTCAATTGTACGTTGTACTTAGTCCTCTTGGAGTCACAATAGACTGATAATGCATCTTGGATGCTTACAACTCGCTGATACATTGCAGCCAAAGGAACGTACGTCATGACATGCGGCCAGGACAAGACAGTAAAGCTCTGGAATCCGCACAGAGACGGTGCAGAGAAACCTAACGAGGCGCTTCTAGTGAAGACATACAAGGGTAGACACGGATACGATGTACGAGACGTTACAATGTACGGGACAAATCGACAGTAAATGTTCTTTGAACGAATTGGTCGAGTTAACGACTGTTTGCACCTGCAGAGCTCATGACAATTCCAAGTTTGCTTCATGTGGTCGAGATCGAGACGTCTTTATGTGGGATGTACCAACTGCTCAAGTGATTCGCAAGTTTGAAGGACACGAGCATGTACCGAAAAAAAGGCTGAGGATGACCTGGAACTAAAGCTTACTTCAGTGACATTGTGTGCATGTTGCAGAGTGTAAATTGCGTTCGCTACAATGCCGACTCATCCGTGCTGCTAAGTGGCTCCTATGACAAAACGATCCGGGCTTGGGACATCAGGTTGAGGAATGCAAACGCTGGAAGGCTATTTTTTGTCATGTTTACTGAGGTGTCGTGTTGTTTACGTTAGAGCTCGGAATGCGTATATGCCGATTCAAGTTCTCGATGATTTTAGAGACAGCGTCACTTCGATGGTAGTTACGGACCACGAGATTATCGCGGGGTGGGCATGTCTATACTGTTACTCCAGGCAGTCTGTGACTTATGATAATATGGCTAATTGCGTTGCAGGTGTGTTGATGGTGTTGTGCGAACATACGATCTACGAGTCGGGCAGCTCTTCCGCGAGCATATTGATGGTAAGCATGCATATGAAAGTACATTGACACGATGAACGATTGTATGGAAATACTAATCGGATCATTTTGATGCTGCAGAACCCGTGGTATCAGTGGCGAATTCTCCCGACGCGCGTTTCGTCCTGGCTGGATGTCTGGACGGCTCTATTCGGCTCATCGAGAAAACTAATGGGACAGAAGTGAAGAGGTAAAGAGCGGTGCATGTCTCCAACCATTTTCTGCTCTACTAACATTCTTCATTGTGCTCGTCGTGTTCTCAGTTATCGCGGACATAGTGTCCAAGATTACAAGATTGAGTGCGACTTTTCTAGCGACGGGGCCTTCGTGCTCAGTGGTTCCGAGGACGGGAGAGTTTACTGGTGGGACCTCGTAGACGCCAAACGAACGCATTCAATTGTTGCACACAAGAAACCAGTACGAACACTTGCGTGTCATCCTGAGAGCAGCATGTTTGCCACTGGCTGCATCGACGGATCCGCAAAAGTGTGGTCAAACACTTGAGTTTTGTGCTCATGTGGTACATCATGCTGAGCGACACTTTACATGCACGTAATTTTGTAAGCCGTTTAAGTCTCATTATATGCTCTCCTTTTTGGTCTACGACAGTGTGTACCGCATACCACCAATCGTCATGAGTAGGTCGTTGGCATTCCTTCTCTCCTTCTTATCCTTCGAAAAGATCGATGCAAACACTTGACTATTCTCCTTAGCTTTAGAAATGGATTCACCAGCATCTTTCACAATCTTGACGAGCTTTGTGTCTCCTGAGTCACCTAGCTGCTCTGCCTTCCTCTTGCTCTTCTTCTCCTTTTTTGGTTTCTTTTGCTCATACTTTCCATCTTCTTTCTCTTCTTTTGACGACTTCATCCTCTTCTTGCTCTTTTTGACTCGTTTTTCCTCCATCTTCTGCTCCAGCAGCTTCTTTTGCTTCTCCTTGTACTGCTCTTCCTCCAGCAGTAGCGTCACTACATCCTGCTCATTATAAGGATTACCACACACCAGACACTCCGACGTGTTTACGGCTTTAAGAGCACGCTCAGATAGCACGCAACCACACTTAAAGAGCACCACGAATGGCTGCTTGCCGTTGAACTCGACCATCGTAATAGGGCAGCACCATAGTGTATCCTTCTCTTTATCACACGTCACCCGACACGCCACCACGTCTTTAAGCGAAGTAATGTGCTGAAAACGCTTGGGCATCGACTTGGCCAGCAAATGCTCCAGAAGTGTCGGCTTGTTAAACAGGTTGCCCAAGCGACACGCCACCACGAGCTCTTGTAACGGCTGCAAAGACAATGCACACGTACGTGCCTTCTCCAGACGCTGCACCTCCTGATCCGCCTTCTCGCCACGCACCTTGACGTTCGCATGGCGCATAAACTTGCGCTTCACGGCAATCACGCCGCCATCGTTCCCCATACTTAGTGTCTATTATTGCAAATAGACTCTTTTCTTTAATAACCTTTATTTTGGGTTTTTCACAAAAACAAAAAATGGTGCAATCTTTACGAGCACAGAAAACGTTTGGACAGCACTTTCATGTTCATGAGCATTTGTTAGCGTGTTTTGCTTGACTTGGCACTACTCTGCTGCACGCTTTGGCTACCATTGGTGCGCGTAGCTCCTGACGGGTCCTCATATAATTCTGCAAACTCATGAGCAATGAAGCTTACTTGTTGGGCTGGGGGCGGCATCGCCAAGCCTTGAGGCGCGTAGCGTTGATGCGAATGAAGCCTTGGGCGTCAGCCGGGTGGTAATCGAAGTTGTCACCGCCACCCTCTTGGTCCATCGAGGCCAGGTCAGCGCTGTACAGAGCCTCGTCTGAGTAGCGACCAATGACCGTCACGTTGCCCTTGTAGAGCTCCAGGTGGACATAGCCCGTCACGTTCTGCTGAGAGAAGTCCACAGCATTACGCACGAAGTCCATCTCGGGAGCGAACCAGAAGCCGTTGTAGCAGAACTCAGCGAACTTGGCCGACAGGGAGTCACGCACCTTCATGACCTCGCGATCCATACATAGACCCTCGAGGTCGAGGTGCGCTTGACGCAGGATGGTGCCACCGGGAGTCTCGTAGACGCCACGCGACTTAATGCCGACAAAACGATTCTCCACGATGTCGATGCGACCGACACCGTGCTTTCCCGCAAGCTTGTTCAGCTCAAGGAACAGGTCGAGAGCGCCAGTGAGTTCTGGGGTCTTGGCGGTGAGATTGGTTACTCCCACGGGGATACCCTTCTCAAAGCGGATGCTGATTTGCTCTGCAGTATCAGGGGCATCCTTAGGGTCCACTGTCATCTTAAACATTTCAACCATGGGAGCGGTCATAGGGTCCTCAAGCATGCCAGCCTCGTAACTCGTGTGATACAGGTTCTCGTCCACACTGTAGGGAGCCTTGGGGGTCGCATCAATGGGGATGTTTTGCTCCTTAGCATACTGGATCAGATCGGCACGGCCCTTGAACTTTTCGATAAACTCAGCATCACGCCAGGGGGCGATAGTCTTGAGTTGGGCGTCCAGAGCCTGGGCACAAAGCTCAAAGCGCACTTGATCGTTACCCTTGCCCGTGGCACCGTGGGCCACGTACTTGGCGCCCTCAGTATGGGCGATCTCTACTTGCTTCTTGGCAATGACAGGACGAGCGAGCGACGTGCCAAGCAGGTAACGAGACTCGTAGATGGCATTGGACTTGACTGCTTCAAAGATGTAGTGCTTAACAAACTCCTCACGAAGGTCCTCGATGTACACCTTCTTGGCACCTAAGGACAGCGCCTTGGCACGCACCTGCTCGTAGTCCTCGCCCTGCTGGCCCACATTGGCGCAGTAACAGATGACTTCGAAGCCCTTGTTGGTGAGCCACTTCAGGATGATGGACGTGTCCAGGCCACCGCTGTAGGCCAACACGACTTTGTCTCCAGGCTGAGCATTGACACTCATGTTTTGATTGTTGATTAGAGGTCTTCTTCTTGTCGACGCAAATTCCCGAATGAAAAAGATCTTGGCAAAAGGCTGACTGGCTGCCTCTAATCAGCGTGTTGATCCTACGGATTATCAAATCTCAAAGGGAAACGTTGCGGTATACTGGCAGGAATAAACTATATGCTAGTGAAACCACGTTATCGGGACTGAAATAATTGCAAATCATATGCATTGTGACAAGGTATGTAACAAGGGCTGCTAGTATATATTTACGCAGATAAGTCCTTGGTAACGCATCACATTGGCCGCCAGCCATTTTGTTTAAAAAAGAGGTGTTGCATTCACATAATTTTACTTTTGGTTACTTGTGCATCAAGAGCACTCCGGCGGAGCTCTTGAAATAGTCAGTGTAGTTAGGAACATGGAGGCAAAGGTGCAGTAGCTAAACTGAAGTAGTAGTAAGCTCTTGGTTGGATGTGTCCTAAGTGCGAATATTGTGAGCTCTATAGAACTTTTACACGTCGACCTGAAGAGATGAAGAAATTGAACATAGTGCCGATTGTCTCGAACCTTTAGTTTCTGCTGTACGAGGGACGTCTTTGCGCCATCGCATTAATCTCATAAACATCCTGAGCTACTGCTAGGCATAACTACTAACAGTCGCGACTTCTTATTCCTGCGGCACACCATGGAAGTACACGATAGCGCGAATACACTGGTGTCACGCAAGTAGCAAGCACAAGCGTGTTAGTATCCATATAGGATAATAGCAAACATAGGGAAACAAGGTACTTACGTCGCCCTGGTGCATGGCGTGGAAAGCATCAGTGATCTGCGGCAGGTCAAACTTATGGGTGACGAACTCGTCCACTTTGATCTCCTTGTTCAGGTACTTGCTCACTAAATCGGGAACACCGTCGCGGCTTTTGAAGCCACCAAAAGCGCTACCAGCCCAACGACGTCCTGTCACGAGCTGGAACGGGCGTGTGGCCAGCTCCACGCCGGACGCCGCAACACCGATAATGCACGACTGACCCCAGCCTTTGTGGCAGCACTCTAACGCCGTACGCATAATGTCCGGTCGACCGATGCACTCGAACGTATAGTCCAGTCCACCGTAGCCTTCTTCCTCCGTCAACTCAATGAGCACCTCCTGGAGCGGTCTGTCCGGGTAATCATTGGGGTTTAAGCATTGCGTAGCTCCAAACTCCTTTGCAATGGGAAACTTCTTGGGGTTAATGTCAATGGCAATAATCTTACGAGCGCCAACAGCCTTTGCGCCCATGATGACAGCAAGACCCACTGCTCCTAGACCAAAAACAGCCACGGTCGAGTCCTTTTCTACCTTCATAGTGTTCATCACAGCCCCATAGCCAGTGGTAATTCCGCAGCCCAGCAGACAGACCTTGTCCATCGGAGCCGACGGGTCAATCTTGGCCACAGAGATCTCAGGCAGCACCGTGTACTCGGAGAACGTGGACGTGCCCATAAAGTGAAACAGCTTCTCGCCGTTGCGCTTGCATGTGAAACGCGACGTGCCGTCGGGCATGAGGCCCTTACCCTGCGTGTTGCGGATGATAGAACACAGGTTTGTCTTGCTGGACTTGCAGAACTTGCAGTTGCGGCATTGCGGCATGTAACACGGAACTACATGGTCACCTACTTTGACGCTAGTTACGTCAGGACCTACGCTTTCGACAATACCGGCGCCTTCGTGGCCCATGATGACCGGGAAGATGCCCTCTGGATCGGCGCCCGAGCGCGTGTACTCGTCCGTGTGGCACACGCCCGTTGCCACGATCTTTATGCGAACCTCGCCGGAGCGTGGAGGCCCCACGATCACGTCTTCGAGTACATTGTCTTCCTTGGCGGCCCAACAAACGGCAGCTTTGCACTCGATGGGTTGAGGAGAGCTCATAATCGCGGTCAGATGTGGGAGGTCAATTACGAAGATTGATTTTTATACTAAAGAATGATTTGACGAAACTATTTTTTCATTTTCATGCTTGTACGTTTATTTTTCACATTGTAAAGATTTAATTGAAGCCAAAAGCGATAGATTATATGTAGACGGGCGCTTCAAAAAGAAGCTGCCATGTACTACGCATGCACGCACCATTAAGCAGCGTGAGGAAGCGGTTAGACCGTCTTACATCCGCGTGCGGTGGTGGTAGCGTTGGTCGGCGCTTGAAGCGAAATATCAACTGTTGCCGGCCGCTTAAAGAGATCCACGCAACGAACTTGAGAAAAAGCACCTACCTGCGTCACGATAGCTGTATCCAGTCTTCTCGTTCGAAGTGAGTGTAATGTAGTGTAAAGGAGCAACAAGGCTCTTTAGCTAAAGGAGAAAGACTTTAGGCTGAAAGCCTCTTAGTTCTATAGAACTAAATAAATTTACGGCTAAAAGCCACTTAGTTCTAAGGAACTGATTAAACGACTTAAAATTCACCCTGTTCTTAGGAACTAGGAGAGAGGCTTTTAGTCTGCAAGCAATAAGCTTCAGGTTCAGAGAACCAGCTCACAGAGTGCAAGAAAAAGCTAGAATATTAAAGGTTCAATTAACCTTCGCACGAAGTGCACAAGAGAACAAGTCAGGACGACTTGCGATCTTAAACTCAAAATGAGAACTAATTTTATTTTATGCATTAAGATGTTAGGAATAGTCCCACTCTAAGTACCCTACAATAGATTAATTACTCTAACAGTAATTATATTATGTAGACTTTGCTATTGGACGACGTATCGTCTAAACGTCTTTGTATGATGTACTTAGTACAGCGTTATCGATTATCGAATCCTAATTGATAAGATACGGTAGTACCGAATACCGTATCTTTAACGCTTATACTTGATACCTTTCTAAAGAGAAGTATCAAGAATACATTAATGCAATAAAGGGAAACTTCAACCGTAAATGTTCGGAATGATGTTCAAACCGTCGTGTAACCCCGTGACACTCTCCCCCACCAGACTGACGTTCCCACAAAATGTCATTCGACATCTTTCCTCTTTTGAGGTAGTGCCTTAGCGAACGTCCGAACCTTACGGTTTGTTCACGGCACACATGACGCCTCCTGGCAATGAGCCACAGACTCTACGGGACCTCATTGAAGGCGACCTTGGCGAAGCGGTTGATTACAAAAGTTACACCGTCTTTGTAGGACCTGATGGGTCCTCTTTAACCACCTTTACGGGTGAAGATGACAGTAGTTGTGGTGGAGTGGGATTTGCAAAATTGCTGATGCGATTCCAACTCTCCACTGGCTCCCGGACGACCGACTAACGGAGGGGGTACCCCGATTCCGTGTGTATAGCCTTCCTCACCTTGTGTACCCGTCGGTAGGACGGGTTGCTCTCTTCTCGGTGGACTTGAATCGATGTTGATCCTAATTGGGTTAGGGATAGGAGGTTTGGTTATCTTGTGGAAATCTTCACAAGATAAACCGAGTACTTGGTGTGGTCTTCCCAATCGATCACGGTTATCCAATAAAACGAAGCTTGAATCTTCTGACCACTTGAGCAGAACCTTCTGACCACTTGATCCGTCCTGCACTTGCTTCGCCTTGCCCTACGTGTTTTATCTACGTCCGATCGCAGTTGAGTTGTGTTGAGAGTTCTTGCAATCCCTGGCCAAACAATCCAGGGATATGACTTGCGTAGTGTGTAGGCTTCCTCGAGACGTCGGATGGCCAAGGAATCCAGCCCGGAAGAGAAGTCGAAAGGTGTATTAAAAGTAAAATATGAACTCTGTTTAGTGTTAACCAATCAAAACTCGAAACCTACGATTCTGCCTATCTGTAGTCCAGGATCTATCACCACGTGTCACCCTTTCAGAAAAAATCAGATCTCGATATGTGGTCCACCCCAAATGCCTTTGCCATCCCGATCCATCGGCGATCTTGCCTTATCCTTGGATCGCGATCTGAATCAGATCGCGTATCAGCTTAGGATCGCGGTCGATCCATAATGCGTAATCCTTGTGAACTGGATCGCGATCTAAGTTGGATCGAGGTTCTGAGTCGGATCGCGCTTTACGTTGGATCGCGCTCAGCCTTGGATCGCGATCTGAATCAGATCGCGGTTCTGAGTCGGATCGCGGTTTACCTTGGATCGCGCTTTACCTTGAATCGCGCTCAGCCTTGGATCGCGCTCAGCCTTGGATCGCGCTCAGCCTTGGATAGCGTATCTGAGTCGGATCGCGATTTACCTTGGTTCGCGCTTTACCTTGGATCGCGCTCAGCCTTAAATCGCTGTTTTGAGTCGGATCGCGGTTTATCTTGGATCGCGGTTCTGAGTCGGATCGCGCTTTACCTTGGATCGCGGTTCTGAGTCGGATCGCGGTTCTTAGTCGGATCGCGTTTTACCTTGGATCGCGCTCAGCCTTGGATCGCTGTTCTGAGTCGGATCGCGGTTTATCTTGGATCGCGGTTCTGAGTCGAATCGCGCTCAGCCTTGGATCGCGGTTCTGAGTCGGATCGCGGTTTACCTTGGATCGCATTTTACCTTGGATCGCGATCGATCCTGGGTGTGTGGTCCACATAACTTGGATCGCGATCTCCACTCCACGAAATTTGTTTATCCGCTCTTCCACATAGTCATGCACCGTTAGCCGGCATACAGTGTTGACCAGACTGTGTATCGCATCCACAGTAATTGCCCCAGTCATCCTCATGTCTTCTTCTTCGTCTGCGGCCGCTTCCCCTGTTAGCCGGGATGGTTCCGATTCCGTCATATCTGCAATTTCCTCAGCCGTTTCGAGACCCGAGCCGTCTCGCCTAACTTCTGATCCGCCTATGAAACATTCTTCTGGATCGCGGATTTTGCTTCCTTCTACTCGTGTAGAATTCCCGCCGGTGATGGATCGTCATATCTTGGAGTCGTCAATCGCGGCATTATACAATCGTTTGGACGCCCAAACTGCCGTCGTGGACAGTTATCGTTCCTTGGAAAATGCTCGACGAGAGCAAGAAGTGCGCTCTACTCGGTTGGAACGTGAATTTGCAATCCTTCCGAAAATTACCACCTCCTCTGTCCAAATTCGTCTTGGATCGCTACAAGCGGCTTCAGGAACGTTACGACACTGCGATCTATAAAGATCAAGAATTTGAAGATGAACTGGGTCTGCGAGAGGATCAATCTCAAGAGATTGCAAGTTTGAAAACTGCTTTACTCAAAGCAAACACGGCGAATCAGCATGCTCAGGAGAGACACCGACGAGAAATGGCCGTGATTGAGCAAGCCTTGAAGGATCAGTTCCAACTCCAGCTAGCTTCTTTCTAGGATCGTCTGGATAAATTCCAAGCCACCCATGATGATCTTTTGAATAAAAATATTCGCATAGATGTCTCTTTGGATCAGCTACGGGGAAAAATCTTGGATCGGAAATGGAACGCGATCAGGCCGTCCACGATCGGGATGCACTTCGATCCCATTTAGCCCAGCTAGCATCTGGATCGCTCCCAATCATCCAAGCTGATCCTCCTGCACCAGATAGATCGGCGTCCCGTAAAAGCAAAAGGTCTTCGTTCCCATCAGCGGTCAAACTTCCACCCAAACGTCCTCGAGCCGTAGGCTCTTCTTCGGACCTGCCTGCCTCCATTCAAGGCAAAACTCCATCGATCCGGAAAAATGCCCCAGCACGTTCCGCCAAATCAGCTAGTTCCACTGTGCCAGCTCGATCTGTCGGATCTAAAAAACGTGATCCGGATGCTTCCAAAGTTCAAGCAAACCCACGTAAAAAACTCGCCGCTTCTTCGAAATCGAAAGGGAAAAAGAAAATTCCCACACCTTCGAAAAGGAAAAACAAGAAATCTATTCCTACGTCCCCTTTCACTGAGTCGAGTGACGATGAAGTATTCTTTGATTCTGGAGATTTTCTGCTTGCAGCCCTATCTGGATCGCGTTCTTCTTCTAAACGTCGTGGCTCGGCAACTGAGGTTTTCCCGCACGTTGGATCACCTGGTTCCCCGATCAATGTCGACACCTCCAGTTCCACGTCTGAGTCACTCCCAGCGTCGCCTGCTCCATCCGCCTCGACTAAAATTTCGAAGGTGGATCTTTTTGGAGAACCTTCTAGTGATTCTGAGGGTGCTGTCAGCTTTACCAGCGAATCCCGTGAGAAGATCAACATATTGCTTTTACCACACGAGTATGCCGATCTACCGGCTACTCAGAAGTCGCAAAATCAATGGATCCCTGGATAATGCAAACAAATTCCTCGATCGTCAGCTCAGGTTGCGCCATGGTCAGCCCGAAGAATTAGCTCTACCTGCGTGGCCGAGTTGGAAGTAGACTTTTTGTACAAGCATCTTTCCAAGCCCAAAAGATATATTGACTACGTCCAAGATACCGCCATCTGATTCACTATGGACGCCCAGGCTGGTAACTTCGGCGCAAATTGCAGCACTTTATGCTCAGGAACCATGGAAATATCTTGATACCTTGGTCACCCCAATTCATTTCCGATGACTGGGTGGTTCGACGAGCTAAAAGTCCATTATCTCGATTTTGAAGATCGACACCGGCAAGCGCTTTGAGAATCAACTCACCCGTTGTACCTATCGAAGGAGCAGCGTGAAAGCGACCCAGAATTGGCGAAGTTTTACCGGGAGCGTAAACAACGTCGATCACGATCTGGTCCCCGCTGGAAAAAAGTGCTTCGATTCGTTTTTTGGGGAATAATCATGGGGCACTGCGATCTGGATATCTTGTTGGATCCATTTTTTCTCCATTTTTCTCAGTCTTCCGAAGTACCAGTATGGTATCCTGGTTTGGATTGCAAGCAGAAACATCCCTAACCTGATTACTGCAATGTCGTTATTGGATTCTGCGGAGCCTTGGCGGAACCAATATCGATCCTCTATCGCGGATCACCCCGGTTCGTCCCTCGCCCGTTTATCCAGTAAATTTTTTCCCAAA